TTTCACATGTCTATGCACAAAGATTGAGTTTCTGTGAAAATAAAAATCCAATCTGCTTCGTAAAAATAATCACAAAATTTATGTTATATCTTTTAATAAATTTTAGTGCGTACGTCTTTTTCTTCCTGTAGACTCTTGAAAATACAAATTTTTATTATTACATATTACACGTAGAACTCAACTGACTGAAATACAAATATTTTTTAATTCATAAATCTTTTATCGTATCAGCCTATTTGACTCTTAAAATAACAAGTTAACCTTCGATATGCACTTACATACGTCTTTCGATGGTGTGACACATCTTTGTTCATTCGCCTAACTTTACTCAATCTTCCTGCAATTGAATGTAGTGTAATAGTTCTATTATAAAATACATAATTATTTCTTAAATATTCTTGATTTATTTCTAGTTACGGTTATATAATCTGCGTGGTCACTAACGATAAACAATTACCTAATATTCACTCAGTGCCTAGTAACCTCTGCAAACTCTACATTCCGTGGAAAAGTATGTTGTCTCATCAATCAAAATTTTTTTTAATTGCTGGCTGGGTCGGTATGCATGAAATAGGCAAAAAGTCATTGTTAACGGTGCATAAATTGTAAAAAAAAAAGCAATTAAGTATATCAAGGCAAGTGTGTCAAGGAGCACACTGTAGTATAATCTCTTAAACGCGATAAATGTTCGCAGACAATTGGAAACGCCGTATTCGGGAGAACAGAGAGCAGTCTATTAGCCATATTAGTTCACGGTTGGCTGCCGGTACAGGCAACTTTTCGCTATCGAAAGGCAATCTAGTTTCACACGACGTCACTGTAAAAGTGCATCGCGACCATTTGCAACGTTACCGTCGTACAGTTATTATTTGTCGAGAGTGAAAAGGTAATTGAAAATGATGTATAACAAGTCAAGGAAGAAATCCAACCACACATTATAACGGTAAAAATGCAATTTTCTTCAAAAATGTCAAGTTTGACATAGATTTCCAAGGTCATAACTTGCGTGTGATACTTTTTTCGTATTTTAAACTGATTCTGCGATGTCTTAGCTTTAACCTCGAAAAATATCCATTCTTCTATCTTATTTTTATCAAAAGTTCCACTATTTTAACACAAAACTGAGCAATTTGTTCTACTGCGCGCTGCGGTGCGCTTACCTGAAAGGGTAGACTACAGCAGTCACTTTTGCAGCTCTTTGTGAGGCAAATTTTAATTGATCTATCTCTTCGAAGAGCTCAGTTTGTAGATAAGATTCCAGGGAATATGACCATATTTTTTAAAATTTAAACACCCCTTGCCTATCACAGAGAAAATCGCGGAAAAGGAATTTGTTTACAATTTTCAGTATTAAAAAATTAATTTTACATGCAACAAAAGAATTATTATAGTAGAGCAATCCTTTTAAGTTAAAATAATCGAAGCACGAACTCGGTACGATAAATCGTTTCTAAGATGAAAATTTTTCAATACCTACATCGCGGTTTCACGAAAATAGTAAAAAATCATAAAGTTTGGAGGCCGTTTTTTTTTAAAGTAAATTCTTGGACAAAAAATGGAATTTTGAGTGACCCTATCATCTTTTCCAGGCGCTCAGAACTCGATCGAACACTCCATTCGCCCCGAATAACGTGCCACGTTACTTAGTGAACGGTTTCACAATCTATTCAGAAACGGAAGGCAATCTCCTGGCACAGTATCGAATCGATTCGATCGAAGGTTACTAGAGGACGCCCATTATTAATTGTTACATAGCTGCCGTTGAGTATCAATTACGTAATACGGGGCTCATTGTAACTAGTGATGGGTAACCGAGCTGTTCGAACGTGTTCGAGTAATAAGGGAAAATCACGAAGCTCGTTTGAGCTACTCGAACGAGCTCGGGTGACAGATTTATGATCTCAGGGGAGACCCGAAGCTCTGGCATTCGAAGCTCGAAGCTCGAAGCCTCGGCGCGTAGAGATGTTACCTGTATCCCTCGGATTATAATGTAACACGCATAAATCGAACTATATTTAATAACAATACAATTCACCAATTTTTAATGAATCTTTAATATAGTAAAAGAAATTATAACTGTTTCCTATCTGAACCTCTTTTATTACCCTCCGTCAAAAATTAAATTTATATTCACTCAAGTTATTGCTGAGTTTGTCACGATTACTTAATTCGTCGCTTATTCGTGTATGCAATTTTGAATGATATAAGTAATATTGATGAGAAGGATTAGCTATAAAACTGAGATAAATCTGAAAGTTGCACATTTTTTAAATTGAAAGAACAGAACTTGTTTTGTACGACTTACATGTTTAAGTCGCATACACTTACATTTAGCATTTAAACACCATCTATGCTTAATAAACGAAACAAATCAATTTAAAATATAAAAAATCAAAGAAATTTTGGGTTTACATTAACTTTTTTTAAAAATTGGCTACGCTATTTGTTAATGCCTCTTCGAGCTACCCCAAATTAAAAAAAATCATCGTTCTACGGTGATTTGTTGCAGAGAAAACCTAAATTCTTCCGACTCCGCGAGATATAACGTACAAGATCAATTTCGAGGTCTCGAGCTCATTCGCACGGCCAGCTCTCTCCACTCCGCTCCCGTGCGCTGACTCATTCGCATACCGGTACTTTGTTGATCTCTATCAGAGAAGTCTCTGAATGGATTAATTCGAAAATTAAATAACAGATAATTCAACTCTTCCTCCAGAATTCGTCCAAATTTGAACTCTTAATGTTGAAAAGTGACGCTACAATGATTTTTCAAAAAAAAAAAAATTATCTCGGCTCTTAGTTAACATAGAGTGGAACATTTTATTTTAAAATGTGTAGAAACATAGCAGCTATCGAATGGCCTATACAGCAATTCGATAGAGTCGAAATTAAAGAAGATCTTCGAATTGTTTACAAGAAAAAAAGATACCCATACTTTGGAACCATATTTGGGTGGTTTAATTTAAAAAATTCACTTCATCTGGAAGTGTACGTGATAGTACAACTCTCCATCTGTAAAAAATATACCCTCTGGTTGCTGTCTGATTTGCCCAAGATGTAGAAATTAACTTTTCCGAAGACGCTTTTCGGATAAACGAATGACTTTTTGTAAAAACGAATAAATATTTAATGCTGAAATTTGGCACACTTCTTAACCGTACTGAAGACCACATTCTCTTAAAATTTTAAACTTCTAACTCCGTTCTAAACCTTCCATATCGTCATGATTAAATGTCATTTAATTTTATTTAAAACAAACTTCAATCTTTGAAGATTTATGTATTTTGTTGTGGTGCATTACAAGCCCTCTCCCCCCCGCTTTTCGACCTAGGGGCCCCCGAAAATTCTGATAGCCCTGGGCCACAAAAAATGGCCTAAGTGAGCTACTCCATTGAAACGGCTTAATTAAGTAGAACCCATTAAAATTATCTAACAAAGGTAGAAGATATTTACTTTTTCTCAGAACTTGACGCCGGAGAGGAACGGTTCGCTAAATCATAGATGTTCTCAAAATGTGGATTGGTACAGAGTAATATTGTCTTACATAAAAAAATGAATAGCCTACAACTATAATATGTAACACACTGTTCACTAACATCTCGTTAACTATTAGGTTTAGGACGTATGAAGGTCAACACATTTTTACACAGAATATGATTTTAATTTAACTCTATCGATCTATGGTATAAAAAATAGGTCATTCCGTTAAAAAAAATCACGATGACCTTGAAATCTCTGAAATGCCTCCACCCACAAAAAAAGCACGTACCTTATAAGATGTGCCCCATGATACCATTTACGTTCCACGCCTCAAAATTTTATCAAAGTTAACCTACCGTTAAGTCATTATTCAAGGTGATCAAGTTAGCTAAGACACCCTGTATATGTATAGGTATTAAAATACATATACATATACAGGGTCTGTCACGTAATCGGGATGGGTTATATTTCGAATTTGGTAAGGGATAGATAAAAACTGTAGAGGGAAAAGTTGAATGGTATGGTAATATCTATTTTTCTACAACTTCACTTTTTCTATACGTTTAATAATGCACCCGAAAAATGCAAATGCAATTATTTTTAATAGAATTGCATATTTGTTTTACTCGTATCAATTCCTCGAAACATTCTGCGCGAAAAGGTATTAATACAATGTTTCGTGAGAGATCTCACATTTTTGATAAGTCATACGTTTCGTGGAAGATATTCCACACATTCATTGTAAATACTTGCGAACGTAAGACATGTCAGCGATCAACAACATTCGACTTGTGAGATATCTCACGAAATATTGGTTTTTAAACATTGTACCCTAATACTTTTTCACGTAAAATGTTCTGAGAATTTAATATGAGTAAAAAAAATATGCAATTCCATTTTAAAAAAAGAGTGCATTTACATTTATCGGGTGCATCGTTGCACTGAAGATGAAGAAAGTAAAGTCGTAGAAAAATAGACGTTACCATACCAATCAATTTTTCCCTGAACCATTTTTTCTTCTATCTCTTACCAAGTTTGAGATATAACCCGTCCCAATTGAGTGACACACCCTGTATACATATAATACATGCATAATATGTCAGCCAGCAGAAGAGTTTGAATCCTGCTGTTCTCACTTATTTTTCACGTTTGCATCCCTTCGAATAAAATGATTTTAAACTTTGAAATGATTTGTTCTTAAGAAATAGAAATACACAAAAAACAGATGTAAAATTTAAGTACGTTGAGTACTAAAACCGAATATTTAAATTACCTATGGAAATATAATCGTCATTCCGGGTCATGTAGATCCGAGGAGAACAGCAGGGTTAAGCCAGAAATTTCATATCAATCTTTAACAGTGCAGTCAGTGAAAAATTAAAAATTGAAATAAATGAGGCACATTTTTACAAAATTATTAAGAAAGCAGTTCTTTATACTGGAAAAAAGATACGATTTACAGTGTATAACACTCGAATAATCCTTAATATTGAATATCCTATTTGACTTTTCTTTCGTAGAAATCCAACATGGTGGAAGAGGCGGTCGGCCTTAGAACGAGGATTGACTGTGATAGCAGTTTCCGGAGTCCTTTTGTGCATTTCATTAGCTGTTGCACTCGGAGTTCTGACAGCGAACACCGCGTCCTGTAATGTGTCACACAGCAACGGTAAGAAAACAATCAAATACAACAATAAAACAATCAGGATAGGGAACAAATTTATGATACAATCGAGCATAGTGGTTCTCAATGAAAAAATTAATCAAAAATGCAAAATAAATTTCTTTCGCCCGAGTCACCGTTTCCTAGAAAATTAGATTTGAAAACTTATCTAACATGCACGTATTCATGCTTACAAGAAATAGAAATAGCAAGAACTGAATAAACACGTTAGCCGATATTCGATAGCATATTTATATTCCAAATAAATTTTCAAAATAATATTTTTCGAAGCTAGAGCACTACAATATTTGAAAAAATTTTATTTTTGATTTTCGATTTTATATGAACTATTTAATGTGAAAGTGCAAGCATGTTTGATTGCGTTTGTTAAATCTGTCATTTACAGTTAGTATTACGTAAACAAATAGACTTAATTCAACAGATTAGTACATTATTTGAATAAAGTTACTTTAAAGTCATTATTCAAATAATTGTCCAATTACTTATTTAATCAAATCTAACTTCCAAATGACTATTTTTTTTTTTACGGGGGGAAAACCTTGGAAAGGTGCACCGCCTCCGCTGGGGGCAGAGACGGCCAATGTGGGGTTTCACCCACTAAAAACCCCCCGGTGACCCTCGGACGTAGGGCTGGCAACGAGATCGCTCAGCATAACCGCGACCAGCCCCGCCCATTGCCCTCCCCTATAGGTGTTTAAGGGAAGGGCTCTCCTCTGCAGGGGGGCGATTGCTCCCTCTCCGACCACCTCCTACCTACCAGCGCCAAGGGGTCACCTCTCGACGCTGTCTTCTCGTGGGCCGACCGTGAAAGGAGGTGGTACCCCCAGTACCACCCCCTTGGCCCGGTTGCCCCGCGGGCGACGCGAGGGTCATCGCGGCTGTGACCCTATGAATCGAGCCACCCGCAGGGCAAATTCCAAATGACTCTATGTTAATGCGTCTAATGAATCAAATGATTTTATTTATTAATGATCAATGAATAGTGCCCCACTTGTTTGTCCTTGCGTTGAAAAGCGTGCACATTATTTATTTTTAAACATGCCTAAATGTATACATACATAACGGAAATATCAAACGCCGTTCGCGGTACTAACGTCGTTTACGTGTAGTCGCAGCAAATCTGTCCGTACAGCGGTACAGCACCGCAGCCTGTGCCGCCATAGCTAAAAGCTTAAATAATAGCATTTGAAAATAATATTTAATACTTTTGTAATATTTCTCTATTTTCCTACCATTGTAGCAGTTTTACACAGTTACCAATTACGAATTTTAATATCCAACAAACTTATCGAATAGAAAACAAATGTTCCCATGATTAATAGAAATCTGTATTGCCAATCAAACTTTCAATTTATAAATTCGCAAACGAGAAAACTTTTACTGTTAACCACTGACATCTTATACTTCTACAAAGAAACTAGCAAAATCTAGTACAGGTTAATTTCATTTGTAGGTACACATTTATCACTTCAATATAGTCTCTCTTAAAGAGTAAATAAACACCAAAATCTAATATTAAAAAACCAATGCATTAGGGATCTAACACGTTAATCTTGTAATAGTTAGAATCCCTTATTTTGTCGGTCTTCCTCTTTTCGTCAAGTTTCGGCTGATAAAACAGCATTCAAGATTCTGTCACAAGAAGTCCTGTTACCTACATGTCCAATAACGGTTCTGCAGTATAGGAAATAGTATAAAAGAATTTCAAGCGCGTGAAAGTTGGCCCGACAGACTTGCAATCGAGTCGTCGTAAATTTCATTGACAACTAATGTCACGTATGACCTGTTTCCTCGCTCATTTAAAATACGATTACACTGACTATTAGGTCATCCCATAAGTAATGCGGTTGTTTGGTATATGTATACATACAGGGTGTTAATAAATATGTGAGACACTTTGATAGGGTGGATTATTCTACATACAAAACTAATACGAAAATCAAGAATGATAAAATCACGTTTGAGGCTTCAGTACCGAGATATTCATTTTATTGTATTTCATTTACAGACTTAACTAGGTCATCGATCGATACAGTGTATCAGCTGGGAATCAACTGTTGCAAGTAACGCAATTTCGTCATTCTTGATTTTCGTCTTATTGTTAGTTTGGCGTGTAGAATCCACCCTGTGAAAGTGTCCCACTTTTTTATTAACACCCTGTATGTTAATGCGAATAAAGAACTTTTTATCAGTAATTAGTGGTTAATATATTATCCACTTTTGTGCCAATTCTTCAATAGTTACTGACGAATTTTATTCAACAGTAACATGTAAAGTGTCTTCATGTAGTTTTATAAGACCTCTCGATGGAAGAGTCCTCATTAATGCACTCAAAGATTCTTGAATTCTCTTCCGAATTTATTTACTCTAGCAATCAATACGCTATTCACCATATACCTGGAATATGTTTTTACTAGCGTAACAACATACCCCTGATACATTAAAGAAAAGGTCTGAAGTACTTCTAATTAAGTTAGATTCCATAATACAATAAGTGTAGGTATAATAGACTAAGTATATACATATAATCTTCTATTGTCTGTTAACTTTTTAATATTTAATATAACAAGTTATTCAATTATAAGAGTAAACCGTTTATATTAAATTATTTTAAATTGGATTGTATTCGCGACAAGTTTCATAGTGTTTTCAAGGGTAGAATTACAGTATATAATTATATTCAATTAGCGTATTATTTGCATATTCAATGCTTGTTACGACATCCTCCCCATGGGTCTAGTCAGGTTATCAGTCGGAGGGGGGAGGGTGGCAGAAATATTAAGGGGGAGATTCCGTGGCCCGTGCACTGTGTCCGTGCACTCACACAATCAACGAGAACCGTGTATGTATATGCGATGTACGAGAGAGAAAATCGATTTCGAAAATTCCAACTTCTGTCTCAACAATTGCACAAATGAATTTTTCACGGGTATAGAACTCACGGGTAGACTTCCCTACAGGGTGGTCTGGTCCGAATAAACACCAATAAACACGTAGAATTGAAAGAATTAGAATTTTAGAAAGTGTGTAATTATGACAGACGCCGATGAAAACACACAAGATGACTGCACAAGTCACATTTTGTTAAATATCACACGATTTAATGGTTTTCTCGTCAAACGCAAACCAGACCACCCTGCACAACACTATCACGCTATTGTAGAAATCCAATTTTTGTCAATTTATCATTCCTGGAAGGCAGAAGGCTTCAAGCGTGGAAGGGCAAACCCTGCTATTTGTTTTTGGCCAAAAATTTGTATACAATCGCGGTACAACAAGCAAGCGCTACAACAGATGCAGTGACAGAGATACGTAACGCGATTCTGAAAGCAGATCTCCAAAAATCTGTTCATAGACTAGTTTACCGTGTCTAAGCGGCGAAGCTAGTTGTGAAGTAATTAATACTGAAGAGATATACTTTGAATAAAATGAACGACTTTTAGAATATGGTCACTGTTTAAAGTAATACATTTTCGATCCCGTTATTTATCAGACATACAGTAGAACTCCATTTATTTCACCATATCGGAAACCAAAACAGTTCATATAACTGGATCGGTCATATAATAGAGATCACTGATTTTCCCCACTACCCATGATTTTTCGTTCAAATAACCGGAGTTCATAGTTCGGATAAATGGATTCAATCACACATTTGCTCATTCATCTGCTTATAGTAATGCTTCAATCCTTATTAATATATTTGGAAATAAATTGGCGAGAACTGTAATTTCGTAATGCTTCATTAATTAATTCTTTATTTATTCTGGAAGAAAGATAGAGGTATTTTTTTTATTAATTACAAAGAAAATTAACTACCTAAATTCATTTAAAAACTTCAATAAATGCGAGTTTCTTCAAGTTTTTTCACCTTACAAGTCAATTATATTTAATGCTGGTTGTGCTTCGAACGATTTAATAGCTGCATTTAATGAACAAAATTAGTCAATATGTACATTTAACATTACATTCATATAAATGGACTTATTCTACTGTAGTGTGTACGAGTATTTGTCAGAAGATTTTTTTGAAAATATCATTATCTATGCAAAGAATAACTAGTACTTCTATTACTCGTACGTAAAGTTCTTGCTGTTCTAATTCTTGACTGAACACTCGTTTTACGTGCTCCTCTGCCGTACGATATCTCAGCCAACCGTGGTAACCAATAGTACACATGTGTACCCACACACCTCTATTATATTCTCAATGGCCTAACATAGTACGCTGCATCTTCAACCGTGTGTTTCTCTTTTCTCCCGTTGCCTTTGTTACAACAGACTCAGACAACAAACGGTAATCGCTTGTTTAATTCGGAACGCGTAATTTGACGTCAAGAACAGTGACGTCAATGAGCGTGTCGATTCTGACGCACCTGGGGTGAATCAGTAGGTATATTGTTTTTAGTGTTACTCACCCGGGCCAGATTCATACTTTTCGATCTTGCCCCGACGGAGAACAATGCGGGAGATCGCAGGAAATTCGATTGTATATTTTCATCGAGTGTCGATGGCGGCCACCCGGGTGGTTCATAAAAGAACCGACCACTGAATCACGGGAACATTTTTAGAGATCATCGAAAAATATCGATGTCTTCGGGACTAATCATCGGTACGGTGGGCGCGATTTAGAATGTTTCCTTTTCTTTTTTCGTTTAGGAACGAGAACAAATTCGATCGACGAAGAAAATTAGTAATAGACTACGGTAAGCCTACCGCGTTTTACTACATTCATGACCGTGGATTGTAATTCTTTCGATCCACCTTTTCGAAAACAAGTCGATGATGACTAATGCTAAGGGAGGCAAAGTGTATAATACTGAAAATAATTCTATATATGTGAGTTGTGTCCAGCAGCGAATAAATACACGGCACAATTTATGACGGAACAATACGTCAGAAGTATTGAACAAACTTCAGAAATAAATCGTTAATGTTAACAATAAAATTGCATTTCCTGTAGAGTTTCGTTTCAGTGGGAATTGAATTTGAAAAATCGTTGAATAAGAATTAGTGTGTCGTGTGTAATAAACAATTTAAGATACTGAACGAATGTCAATACAGAAACGTGTGCTTGTTTGTTCTTTTACACAGTATTTTATGTCAGATTAAAGAAATTTCCAAGCGATAAAAGATATTACTCGTCTATTCAATATATTGATAGCTTAAATGTTACATGCTTATATATTTACAATTTTAATATTGATTTAACACTAATATTCACTTATTGTTAGACAGTACATTTGTTACATCCTTGTTTGTAATAAGTTTCTGTTACTTCTACATAAGTTACATTTTCTAATTAGTTTAAAATACCTTTGAGTTATGAATTTTTATTTAAAATGATTTTATTGATCTAACTAAAAATTCTTATTAAAATTATACGAATATAAACTATTAAGTTGTTGTTAAATAATATTAAACCTTGTGCACCGTTCCGGTCAGTCCAACTAGAAATCAATGTTTATTTATTATCTATTTTTAATTATGCTTCTGATTACAGCAATTTGTGAGTCAATTTGACATCAATAGCTAACTTATAATAAACTTTAGTTCAGTTTAATATCAGAATTCTCTTTTAGAAATCCCTGAATGGAAGTTTCTGGGATTAATTAGGCAATATTTCGTAATAAAATTCACATGTTACTAATGTCAAAAAAATATCAGCATAGAAATATATGTAACTGCAAATCCACATAAATCTACCAAAATGCAGTAGTTTCGTGGCGTTGCAGATTACTCCTTCTGAAGAAGGTTTAGAACAAAAATTCAACCATGGTTATATTTTATATATGTATAGGTGGTTCTTAATAACACAGACGAAAAGGACTGAAAAATTTTAACAATTACGGAAATAGCATCGAATAACAGAAAAAATGTGTATTGCTGCTCAAAATCTCACACTTTCTCGTATACCCAAAAAAAAGTGATAAAGTTGCAATTATTATTTTCGTTCATACTGTAGAAGCACTTCTTCCAAAAGTCTGTGGTGCGGTTTAAGTGAATATGTTCTTAACTTTTCGAGTTATCCACAACGTTACGAGGCTACTGCCTTTTTGAAGACTTGTGTGGATTTGCAAATATATTTATAAATTGATGCTGTTTTTACATTACTGAAAGGTGAATTTTATCTGTCAGCTAAGTGGTTCTAGCTCAAGCCTAATTAATTCCAGAAACTCCCATTTAATTATCATTTACCAGCTCCGTAAGAAGATACTTCAAAAAGTGTCTATTTGTTGTGTCTTTAAACAAAGCAACCTCCTTAACTCTTTAAAACCCAGACTCTTAAATTGCCATTTAAAAATGATGAGACTGGTATGTTGTATCTTGTTATTTTCAAGTCAAAAGTATCGATATTAAGCAGACCAATTTTTTTCATTTTTTCTTTTTTTATTTATTTTTGGAGGGAATACTTGAATTGCTCAATTAAGAACGTGGAGATCTACTTCGCATCAGTTAAACTACTAACCCTTGCTGACAAAAGTTAGACCGGCGACAGAATTTGGCGCACTTTCAAAATGTGTGTTGCATCGATGCAACACAGGGCGTTAAGAGGTTAAGGAGTAGAAAGTTAACAGCTATTCAAATAATGCACGAGGATTTAAACCAGTAGCTTATTAGTCCAGCTTGAGAATAAGCCGCTACTAACAATTATTAACAGCATCATTTTGCCTTTTGTTTTGCAATCGCACCCTCATCCGCGCCTGCACGAGTATAGATCCTGTTAACTCTGAAGGATTACCGCTCACAGCCGGCGCCCTGAACGGATATCAACACACAAAAGATATTCAAATCGTGGAGAGAGGCGAAGACTTGTGTTACACACCAGAATGCGTTCACACGGGTGAGTAAAAAAGATTCTTATTTCCTATTAAAAGGCTCTTTAACCCTCCGAGCACGGAAACATGGTCACCGGTCCCTATGCCATTTCTGACCCCACACCGATATTCTACTACTACACAGCGACGGCGAGGCTCGAGCTCGAGGCCCTCACCGATGTTACTACGCAGTGGCGGTTGCTCGAGCTCGAGCTCGAGCCACCGTCACCGTGTATACTATGTAATGATTAGCTGGTTCCACATTACATTTGGATTTTCGTGGTTCTTATTACACTAACTAGAATAAAAATCTTGTGAATTATAAAACAAATTATATTTATTAATCAATACTTCTGCAGCGTCTTGGCCCGGTCGTTTGCATGTAAACAAACATCGGTCGCTACGCGATTTACGCGACAGCTCACAACTGTGTACGTGTCGCTCTCGAGACCGTGTGTCCCTACTCCTGACTCTGTCACTGTGTGCGTGTCGCTCTCGACATCGCGTGTCCCCACTCCTGACTTTGTCGCTGTGTGCATGTCGCTCTCGCGAACGCGTGACCCAGGGATCGTGCTCGGAGGATTAACCCTTTGAAATGTCCATTAATCACAATAAATGGTCATGATCTTCAGCGTCCAGAATATTGAAGAACATGGATCCAGAGGTGGAGCCGTGCGACGACTTCTATGATTTCGCGTGTGGCGGCTTCCTGAAGACCATTAATATTCCAGATGACAAAACTAGTGTAAACACGTTCACCGAGATCAGCGACAAGCTGCAAAATCAATTGAGAACCAGCATCGAGGAGAAAAGCGCGCTAGACGAGCCAAAACCTTTCCTGCTCGCGAAAAATTTGTACAAAGCTTGTATGAACAAGAGTAAGTACCATTTTTTTCAGAGCAAAGAGCAATTATTATTAGATTACATTTTTCTTGCAGAATAAAATAAATATGAGTCAATTTTACAATTCTTGTACTTCTTATGGTTTATTATACATGAAGAAAATGTAAGTCGGTGCTTCTCTTCTTCTTTTTCTCTTTCCAGTAATTTTACCAATTTGAACTTTTAATTACTCGCATGGGGTCATTGTAATTTCGATGTCTTCATAAACGCGTAGTTCATACCCGTTATCGTAATCGGCCCGTATAGCTTTCTGGTTAGGTCTTCTTTATGAGATTCTAGTAATGGCTGACCCTATGCGACTAGTTACGCAAAGAAGCAGACATTGGTGTCCTACAAGACCTCATTCGAACAATTTTGCACAAAGCGAAGTGCAAGTAACTAAAGATTAAATGGATTTTTATTAGATGTACCATTTATCTGAATTTTCGTTTCCTTAACATCCTTTTCTGCTATCGTTTTATAATGTAATATAGAAGATGTGTCTACAGCAAGGATGAAGTGTATAATATAATATGAGATATACCAATGAGTAATTTATCATTTTCTATTTTCAAATTTAGTATCAGGTCGTTGCATATGAAATGAGCGATTATACTGATAGGTATATTTGACGTTACTTTTATGAACGAAAATTGTTAACTTAGCTCCTTTCCTTAATACAGAATTACAGTGTACTCTACTCGTTTCAAGGTATTATCTAACATAACAGTAAAATCGATTACGGTAAGCAATAAAGTTATTTAAGGTAGAACATCAATCTCATTGTCAGTGAAATTCAGCCATTTCCTCCACGTGTATTAAAAGATAGACAGTTAACCAAATACATAAATACACTTTATAAAGATGCATACAATGTAAGTTTCTGTTATTAACAACACTATTTAACGATGACTTACACTCGGCGAAAAGATAACAGCTAAAACAGTCTTTGAAGTGTCATCTTAAAATTTAGTATAATAATTATATAATGAATATGACATGTATCTAACACTCATATTTCAATGAACAAGATGTACTGAGTCTATTCAGTCTAATTACTAATTACTCGTACTGTATGTACTTGTTTTTTGTACTTTGTCTAATGAAATGCCGATAATAAAATGATCATTTCATGTGCAACAACCTAAGACATATTCTTAAAGACACAGCAGCTAAAGTAATCTTATATAGTGTCTCTCATAAATATACCAACCCCCTTAAAATTTATGTATCCTGACCTCACGGAATAAATTACACGGAATAATTTGCTCGTGTTCCGATTCATTGCTTACCAATCAAAAGGAATTTTAATTAGTCAGCTGAACAATTAAAAAACTAGCAGGAGGGAGCTCCAGATTGTGTTCAGGTGGTGTCCCGTATCCCTGTTGATGTTATTAAGGTGTTTCAGTATCTCCAACTGCACGCCGTTCATTGTCGCCGCGGTTAAACTTCCTACATTTATGACAGGCTCTGTACAATCAATGAATTTTTATTATTAACTATTTCATACAGGAGGATCGACCTTTAACAACGTATCTTTGCTTCTAAGGCTTCATTGATGTTTTAATGAAATAGTATTTATTTATTTCAGCGGACATCGAGAAACAAGGTCTAGAGCCTTTGATGAAGATTTTGCGGAAACTTGGTGGTTGGCCGATACTAGAAGGCGAAAACTGGAACGAAAGCGATTTTAATTGGAAAGAATCTGTGTACAAGTTCCGGAAAATGGGATACTCTGTCGATTATTTCATCGATTTCAGCGTCGGCGTTGATCTAAAGAATAGCACGAAACGGATAATTGATGTACGTAAAACGAAAGAAAATTCCACTAAAATTCAGAATGTTTGCCGTGAATTCGCAGATAATATTACATCAGGGAATATCGAAATCGATCGTAAAACGATGTACAAATTAATAACGTAAATCCAGTTTGATGCGTCCTAAAATCTGTCTCACTTAACGGCATCGTGCAACGCGTTTCTAATAATTTATGTTCCGAGGCGACAAGTGGATAACTCAATGTTTACGAAACTTTTTAACATATTTGATATTAGTAACGTTCATCCATGTTGTAAAACAGTAGGTGTTACTCTACATATGTAAACGACTGAAGAAATTGTGAGAATCAAGGGGGTACTCTAATGTAGAGGCTCAAACAGAACGATTTTTTGTGTATTATCTCGTAGTTTCTGGCGTGACAAATATTTCTGCAACGAAATTTGATGAAATTCAAATTATTATCAGAAGTATAGACGTCCAAAGGTAGAGCCGCTCGTACGGTGCAGCGATAAATAAAAACTTTAAATGCGTTTTCCTCGAATCAAGGTTTTTTAACGGTTTAAATGCTGAAGAATTTTCTTGGACATATGCTAAACATGCGGAGTAAACTGCATATTTTTATTGTTTGGAAAAATAATAAAAATGATAATAATTTACTATAATTACATAGGTATAGCAAAAATATTTAAAAAAAATTTTTTTAAATGGAAAATGAAAATAATAGATAAATACTTTCATAATCGCTACTAAGCAATTTGTCACTACTTCTGTCATAAGGAAGGTGGTAGAAGGAATGTTTCGACGCACTTTCGCACGTAATTAAATATATTTTATTAAGAGATTCGTTCACAGACGCAAATAACAGCAGAATAGACATTCGGATTTTTGTTCGAATTTTATGAACTATTACCGACAATACGACCGAACTGTCGACCAAATGTTGGGACTTGTAGCTTATTATTTATTGTCAAGGGTATTTGAAAAGAAGAAAACGCTTAAAACAAACCCGCTATACAGCGACCCGTATGTTACTGTTGATAATTTTGGATAAACGGAGTTTCTATGTGAATGATGCGCTTAACTCCCTAGTCTTCAACGCGGCCGGATTTTGGGACCACACACGCTCTCACATTATGACAAATATCTTCTTTAGATATTGAGATATTGCTTTAATTCATTTTGCCCAATATTCTATACGCTATAACTATTTGATTTCAGGTAGAAAAAAATTCGATTATTTTAAAGTTAAGACGTATGTAACCCCTTAAGAAACTTATGACACCGACTATATCTATGTACAGTATACATGCGATAAAAAAGCGCTCAACCAATTCTAAGTATTACTTCAAACATACCGCAATATAAAAGCAAAACGCTATACAGTAGTATAAATTTATATCTTTTGTTAAATAAATTCCCGAGGATACTGTTGAAAAATATACAGTTACGCTAGGCGGTACGCCCTTAAGTAATTTTTGTTAGAAATGAGTACTGGTGGAAATTCAATCAAATTTTTGCTTTAAAAAATTTACTTATTAATCAGTTTTACATACATTTTTATTAAATAATATTAAGAATTTTGTTTTCTTTAATAAGATAACGCTACTGCTGGAAGACATTCTTCCAACTTTAATTGTGTTCCTATATGCAAGAAATCGTACATATTTAAAAAAACATTCAACGCTACAGCATCGAATTTATATTAAAATGAATCTGTTTTTAGAGTTAATGAAAGATTAGTATCGAAATTAAAACAAAAGTAACATCGTGGAGAACAGTATAATACTTGTAATTGTGAGAATATTCTCCACAAGTTTTATTTATTCCTCGTATGCATTAAAGAAAACACGTGTATAAAGTTTCAAATATAAATCAAGCACTCAGCCCTTGTCTCACTTTTAAACCGCATAGATTAATTATTTTTTAAATTATGTATCCAAAATTTTCAGGATACATTTTAAAATTTTTTCAAGAATGTATACCCCCTAACGATGGAATAACATAAGTATAGTACTAAATAATTAAAAGCATATGTTTTTGCAGCTCGATCAAGCATCTCTTGGCCTCTCACGAGAATACTTGTCGAAAGGTTTTGATGACAAAATCGTGCAAGCATACTACAGTTATATGGTGGATATCGCTGGAATTCTCGGCGCTAATAAAACTCTAGCGGAGACAGAATTAAAGGAGTCATTGGAATTCGAGATGAATCTAGCAAACGTAAGTCTCCATTGTAATAATTTTTATCCGGAAATTCCTTGAAAGCACTCTTTCATTCTTCGGTAATTATTCGTATGAATCTGTTTATCTCCCTAAAATGTCAAAATGGGGACTTTTTGAACATGACCGTCACCACTGTTTTTAATTTTTTGTAAAAACTTGGATACCAATGAGAAAAGCATATTGATAAAACTTTAATGTCCTGCGGGACACTTTTCCTGAATTATAGTAGTTTGAAAATCATAAAACTGGTCCATTTTCGCTTAGCAGAGGTATATTAAAAAAATCATAACTTTGCTTATAATCGGTCGATTGGAATAATTCTTTTTGCGTTAGTTAGGGAAATGTACATATTTTCAAAAAAAAATACAGTATTCCTTTTCCGGAGGAAAAATATTTCAAGGATAATGAAAACGTACTTTATCCTTAAATATTTCGAAACCAGCATCTTCGATTTTTTTCATTTGTTCATACGTTAATTACCATAGTTTCTCGGTAGCAGACTGTACAATTTTCATAGTGGAATCGCAATGGGTTTGGAAGATACATACATATATGTATAAGCATTTTCCTGGAGACATGTTTGACAATCGAACTAATTCTTACACTAAATGCTTGCTGAAAAAAAACTTGAAAAAAACTCAGCTAAAGTTCTTTTCCCTCTTAAATTTACTTGCATTCTCATACGATTAAAACAAAACTAAAGTAATGTTTTTATATATTTTTATTTACACAATACGAATAAAACAATTCTTAAATGGAGATAAAGTATTAAAATGACAAAAAATTATTATTATTTGGATTCTTTGTCGCTGTGTTTGAAGTTGTCAGTGGAAGCAGAAAAAAATTTACATGGAACTTCTCTAGTATTTATTGATACAAAGCAATGTACCTGTTGCGTTTTTGGGATGTGTACAGAGTCGTCAAACCTGCCTTTAAGAAAAATCTCTGTTACGTTATATTCTTCTTTTATGATGTATGCAAAGATCATATTGGGAAGATGGGATTGTGCCCATTCATAAAGTCGAGAAGGAGCCGCAAGGTGATTATATTAAGGCCGTTGTAAACTGGCCTTAGTCGCTGATCGTTTTAAGGTACCACCGAGACCTAAGTTTCTAAGTTTCTAGAATGACCCAAATAATAAATGTAGAAGTTAAAATACTCTCCGAAAATTTTTTTACGGCTCTTCTTTTTCAAAGGTACCCGAAGATAAGAAATTAAAATGACAGACTTTTTTAAATTTAATGAAATTTCAGAATGAAATATGAATTTTTATTTTCAATACATGAGCACCCAGTTTGACACTTATGTCGTTTCGTTTTTAGAGACACTTGAAAATAATTTCTCCAGATTCTTAAAATGATTTTATACATTTCCAGCATGCTGAAGTATACGAAAACTATATAAAGCGTAAACTTTAATAACGTTCAATAGAATGATTATTGCGTTTTCAGTTTAATAAAAGTATTAACGAAGAAAATCAAGTTCTGTTTGTCTTTAATATTCAAAAATTAATAAAAAGAACTTTTAATTTGTATAAACATCTGTCGTCGACTTATGACATTAATAGATTAATATTAATTACCGGCAGATGCATTTACTGACATGCAATATCAATTCTTTAGATTTCCTTGCCGAACGAAAAACGTCGTAACGCCACCCTCCTCTACAACCCCATGACTGTACAAGAATTATCGCAAAGATACCGTAGTATACCATGGAAGGAATACTTCAACACGCTTTTGGCGCCAAGTGTTCAGGTCGACGATGACGAAGTCGTGATAATCAGCGTGCCGAGTTTCATCATGAACTTGGAGAAGCTGTTGGCGATCACACCGAAAAGGGTCCAGGCGAATTATGTGATGTGGAGGGCGGCTGCGTCGTCGGTGAGCTATCTGACCGAGGAGATTCGGAAGAGGCAGTTGCAGTATTCGACGGCGTTAAGTGGAAAAACAGAAAGAGAGGCTCGATGGAAAGAATGTATCGACACCGTGTCCGGTAGTTTAGCTATTAGCGTCGGCGCCCTTTACGTTAGGAAGTACTTTAAAGAAGATGCAAAGAAAAACGCTGTGGAGATGGTGGCTGATATTAGAACTGAATTCACAAAGATATTGAAGAAGGTACGTTGAATATTCATACAATTTTGTTCTTTAACAGAGCAGGTGTCACGCATAGGCGACATCCGTCCATGGTTCTATGTATACTTATCAAACAATGTCAGAAACATGTCAAAAATGATAACAAAAACAGTAAAAAATACCTCTTTATTATATTATAATTTTTTCCTCTGAGTTAATAAATAGTAACCTTTTACAATAAATTGGTGCAGCTCCTTGGGAACATCGACAATTATTTAATGCATTCGCATCGAATGCCTTGATTAATTTAATCGATCGAAATATGTAACTCTCGACGAGATATGTATGTGTATGTATATTACACCTTTGCTACAAAAGTGACACGCACCCTTTCGACGAAAAACGTGTTTTTCGAGTTATCAGAAAAAGGCTGTTCGACCAATCATCGAAAGAATAATCTTTCAACTTCACAAGTTGGTTGACAGAGAGCCGTTAGGTATATCACTCTTACTGTTCGGACTCCGAACACGGAGTGACACTGTGATGTGCGATAGTCCTTTGCATTTCTTGAGAATCTACATTTTTGTATTTTACTATGTTTTTGAATTCTGTCAATTTTGTAGCAAGAGTGCGATATGTGGAGGATAATGACAGATCTCAACCAAACCAGTAGGATTTTTAAAGGTAGAACTTTTGATATTACAGGAGAACTTAAAAAAGAATTAAGTTATTACTGTTGAGGCGGTCGGGTGTAAGCCTCGACACTGCTGAGTCAACAATAATAATAACTGTATTATGCCGGGCCGTGAAAGCCTCAAATCTCTAATTACTTGATAGTTTTTGAGATTCTTTGCACTTTTTTCAACCGATATGCATTTTATAAGACCACTTTCTATAATCGCTTGTTTATTGTTGCCACTCCGATAGAATCTATTTTTGCTTCATTTATTGAGTATTTCAATATGTATATCGGTCTTTGGCACTTGTAGTTTTCTTATATTGTCTTGATCTCTGCCTATTGCTACAAATATCTGTATTCTTAAATTTTAGATTCATATTTCATGTATTTTGTTCTTTAAACCAACATCATTCTGTATCCACGTTAATGACTTTCTATTCTTCAGGTCGATTGGATGGACGATGAAACAAGAAAGAGCGCACTCGACAAAGCAGCCTCTATGTCTAGTCACATCGCGTACCCAGATGAATTGCTGGACGATACAAAACTCGAAGAATTTTACCAAAATCTTGAACTGACGACCGACAATTACTTGGAGGGTATCTTAAACCTGACTCTTTTCGGAGTGGAGTATTCATTCGGAAAATTGAGGAAGCCTGTAAACAAAACCGATTGGATAACACACGGAAGACCGGCGATCGTAAACGCGTTCTATTCGTCGATCGAAAACAGTATTCGTGAGTATTTTTCTGGCGAAGGCTGTCGTAAGAATGCGTATCGAAGAATAAAAGACATTTACGTAACCATGTTGTTCGCAGAATTTCCCGCTGGCATTCTGCAAGGTGCTTTCTTTAACAATGATCGACCGAAGTATATGAATTATGGTGCCATTGGGTTCGTGATTGGTCATGAAATAACGCACGGCTTTGACGATCAGGGCAGACAATTTGATAAGGCAGGAAATCTCGTCGATTGGTGGGCACCACAGACTAAGGAAAAGTATCTCGAAAGAGCGGAATGTATTATTCACCAATACGGGAACTACACCGTCGAAGATGTCGGCTTGAATGTAAGGGTCATCTTTTGTTATTATTTTCTTCGCGTTTACGTCACTTGGTACACATATTTATTTGATAAGGAACCTAAATTTAAAGCATCCAAATAGATTGCTTCATCGGACACACGTATTGCTTAAACTTTTCTTTTATCGTGCGTAATATGCGAATAATACACGCGAAACTAGTCTTGGATGATAAGAATATCGGGCAGAGTCGTGACGCGAACCTGTAGCCCATAGGGGTCAAACTCGTTCGTGGTACTACTAAATCAGCAGTTAGATAACTAAATAAATATACAGCAAAATAACATAGTAACTGTAGAGACAACGGTAAACGAGATATCGAATAGTTCAGACCTGTTGTATCGTCCACTGAATCCTAGTTTTTTTTACAAAAATTTAGTGATGTTATCGCTTTATGTTTTGAATTAGATATTTTGTCAAATTTCGTTTTATAATGACAGAAGGCAGACCTGCCAGATGTTATGGAATTAGTAGTATAGTTCGAGAAAAGTACATTCCATGTGAAATATTGAACAATAGATATTTTAAATTCGACGTTTCCTTTCAGAAGGAAAACGTCATTGAATATCTTTTAAGGGGGGAGACTCTGTGGCCCGTGCGCTGTCTGTCCGTGCACTCACGCAATCAACGAGAACCGTGTATGTGTACGCGATGCACGTGAGAGACATTCGATTTCGTAGGAACCAAAATGAGCCTCGATACTTGCACAAATGCACTTTTCACGGGTATAGAACTCACGGATAGACGTCCCTACAGGGTGGTCCAGTCCGTATAAACACCAATAAACACGTAGAATTGAAAGAATTAGAATTTTAGAAAGTGTGCGATTGTGGCACACTTTGGCAGATGCCGATGAAAACACACAAGATGGCTGCTCAAGTCACATTTTGTCAAATAAAAACCCTATACACCACTATCACACAATCGTGGAAATTCGATTTGAGTCACATTTTTATTCCTACGATTTGACGCGTCCAGACTCAGAAAATAAACAGTGGTATAGTTCAAGGATTCTCTGCTAGAGGCGTTTATGGTATTTGTCAGCCACTTTGGTCTGCGTTACCACGAGCATCGATAAAACAGAGGGAATCGGTAAATTTAACCTCGCAACACGTGCTGGATCATATCAATTGTTTTGTTACTCTGTTGCCACATGTTCCCATTACAATTCTACGCGTCAGGAGAACGATGGAACACCTACGGCCTATGGCCTACAGCTTGTGGTGAGACTTCGATTCTCGCCGAACGTAGGAAAAGAACGGCGCGAGAGAAAGAAATCCGAGAATTAAACAATATGTACTAATGTGTGCAAAGATGAACCTTTTTATTCCTACTTGCAATGATGCTTATTTGTTTAATTAATGAAATTACATACGAAATACTTGAAATGGTATTCCCGAGAAACAATATTTATTTATCATTTATCGACATAATTGACGCAGGTGTTATATACTTACACAAATATTTCATAAAAGGGACACAAAAGGAACAGAATTAATCGCATACGCTCTGTCAATCTTGCATTCGTCGCCCAGCGAAGATTGATTTTGTACTAACAACTGATTGCTGTCGCATGCGTACTTAGCGTATCATCTTCGCTGCGCCGGCACCTGTTCCACTACGCACTTCCTTTTTTCTCACAACATACACCTCTACCGTACTTCAAATTTTCATCAAAGTTGTATGTTTGCATCAAACGAAAATACATACAGCAAGGAGCAAAAGCGAATACACGCTCTTTTGTAAACATTGGACCAAACGACTTGAGTTTTTTTGAGAAGCTAGAAGGATTAACTTATTAAATAATAACTTATATCTTCGTGTAGAATTAATCCTTTTCGTGTATCACCAACATACATAATTATTTTGCTTATAAGGATTATTACAGTCATTCATTACTCAGCACTTGCCGTATACATAAACATACTAACTTCGAATATTATGCTTTAGTACAAAATATGGGATTGCAAATCAAAGTTTATGAAGAACATTATGTGCTTCTTAAAATAGAATAATTTAAATGATTTTAAGTACAAATAACTTCTACAAGCTCTACAAGAAAAACGTTAACATATAACTAGATGCAGTAGACTCTAACTATATTGCCATGTTCGGGGCTGTAGGAGAATAAAATGGCAATGAATTCAGAGTCCCATCCATGCTGAGTTCTATCGCCATGGCCTCGGCCTCAGCGCCTGCGCAAAAGCTGGATCGTGCTGATGCGCCGGCGTACACAACATGGTGGGAGAACGAATTTGTGTGCGCGAAAGTACGTGTGAAGAGGAAGTGCCGCTTGTGGCAATGTGTTCAGTGGCAATATAGTTAGATTCTACTGTACATACGACGCATCTCAAAAATGAATAATCCGAAAATGACTACTTTGTAACACTTTTAATAACCAACTGAATATTATATTTCGTTACTGTTCTGGAAATAGTATGCTGCTTACTGTCAGTGGAAAGTGCTTAAACACCAATGCTTCAAAAGTTCTCTACTAGATTGTGATAGTGAAAGAAAAATTCAAATTTATTTTTGGGATGAGTGGGCTATATAGTTATAGGTTAATATGCTGTAGTAACACCATTTGGCTTCAGTATCGAAATTTTTCGATGATAATTATATTTGACAAATACCGAAACGATTTATATTCTATTTTATAGCTAAACGGTATAAATACCCAAGGAGAAAACATTGCTGACAACGGTGGCATAAAAGAGGCCTACTTAGCGTACAAAGACTGGGTCAGACGAAACCAGGAGGAGCCAAGGTTACCAGGACTTCCCTATACGCCAGAACAATTGTTCTGGATCAGTGCGGCAAACACATGGTGCAGCAAGTACAGGCCGGAAGCGATGAAGCTACGCATCACCACTGGATTCCATAGTCCTGGAAAATTCCGTGTCCTAGGACCGCTCTCAAACATGGAAGAATTCTCAAAGGACTTCAACTGTCCCCTCCGCACAAAAATGAATCCCGAGAAGAAGTGTGCGGTCTGGTAAATCAAACACCAACGAATAATTAAGCGGTTGCTCAAGTTTAAGAAGCGGCTGACATTGGTCAAACTTGTTCTTCGATATTTTGAAGAAAATCGATCCTGTTCGATCGTAACTGTTATGAATAAGATTGGCGTGGATTTCGACAGATCGTCGTAAATTTTGATTGTATCCGTTGGAAGGGAATAACAGTGAGAAGGTGCTTGATTGTGGAACTACTGATGGAATTCAATTTTTAAGGCACGATCGTACTTGATCTCTGAAGACGCTCAAAGGGATCCTCGACTTCGTGAACAACTATTGAATTGCACGGTTATGCTACCATAACGGTGCATCCACTATAACATTGTTTATTAATACATAAGTCTTTTTATAAGAAAAAGTTAGATGTGCGATGAGTATTGTACATAAGATGAAAGAAACAAAACCTAGGACAGCACGTCATGACAATTTAAAATTTTATAGAGTTACGTTCGAAAAAATTGAGAAACCTATCATTAGGTTCAAGTTGTTAAAGAGAAGAGGACACGTCAAACTGTGATGATTTTATAGGAATCGACAATAAATACTGACACGGTCTTTCGGTTTAACCTTTAAGCTGACGCGCGCAACAAAACAACACATTATTATTATTATTATTATTATTATTACTGTATATATTACTATATATATTTTCAAATGACATCGTTTTACTGACTTACAAGTCAATACATGTGCTTTTTGCTATCTGTATAATGTTCGTTAGGCTCCGTTGAGCAGCGTAAGATTGTTGATTAGAGTTACCATTTCTAAGTACTTAGATGATGTAGTATTAATCGTTGTTTTTAATAACAGTTATTAAAACAGGTAACAGAAAATGCCTGTGGTTACTTTTCTACCGTTTTCGCTTTTTGCATCTATGTATCACATAAGCGTTTACTTGAAAATCGTAATTTCTTTGTTCTCGTTCTACAATGACAATTGTACCGCGTCTAAGGCAGAATCGCGATATTGCTATTTATTGCAATACTGTATTATTTTAAATTTAAATAGATAGATGTATTTAGTGTATTTGTTTATTATAAAGTTTTAATATAAAGAGAATGAAGAAATGTTTGACCTTAAATTTCTGTTGTAGATCTAATCGGCTGAATAATAATAAATGAAGATTTTATAACAAAATCAATCTTTATAAATAGAATTTTTACTGCCAAACAAAAAGAAAACGTTCTTGAATGGAATTTCGTTAATCATATTTTTAACTTATTCTATTTGGTATAGAAGACGAGACTTTCTACAAAAAGTTTATCAAATAAAGTAATGTTCTTCTTTTTTGAAAACTTCAAAAAAGAACAAAGTATAAAAACATACAAATGCAAAAATAAAACAGATGTTCATCGTTATTACGTACAAACATTAATTGCACTAGCTGTCAACAAAATTTTTTTTTACACTCCTTTGAGTCATTATTATTGATCCTTAATAGATACCTACAAAAGCTCTGAATCTAAATCTAGCGACAGATTTGCTCCAACACAAGGAATAAAGATTACATCTCAAAAAAATTCAATGGTCGGCAAGAAAACATACATTAAAGTAAGTTATTTACATCATATTATAGAAATGCAGTTACATCAATTTACTAAGAGTGTATAATCCCTGATAACCAGTTGGGTACAAGTTTCAAGCAAATTGCCATCAAATAATGACAATAGTTGTCTAAAACACCATAGCCATCTGTTTCCGCATTTGGCTTTTGTTTTGCAGGCAACGCCAGCTGACAAAATGATAAAGCAAATTGGCAGCAAGTCTTGCAACATAATCTATATCAAATTGGTGACAAAAACGGAACAGAGTCAGCGCGAGGCAGTTTGCTGTATATGTTGCTTCCAATTTTCTACATATGTTGCAGCATATATTGCTGCCAATGTGCGCCCAAATTGTTTCTAACAAATCTTCCATCGAACATGTAGCGACTTTATATAACAGGCATTGGACAACATTTAGCTTTGCAGGTTTGGCTAACTGGGTAATGACTGAGGGCTAAAATATTTACATAAAATTTGGTTTTAGCCTATTCATATCTAAACTACGGCTGATGGGTACTCTAAATAATTTTTTTTTATTATTAAAAGTATTCAAACAAAATACCCAGTCAGCCAAACCTGCAAAGCCAAATTTTTTCCATTGTCTATTATAAAGTTATGGCTACAAGTTTGATGCAAGATTTGCTATAAACAACTTGCGCGGACATTGACAGGAACATAGGCAACAAATTAACAGCAACATATGCAGAAAATTGGCTTGCACAAACCTTGTTCCGGTTTTGCCCTCAATTTGACATAGGTCATGTTGGAAGACTTTCTGCCAACTTGCTTTACTATTTTGTCAGCTGGCATTGTCTACAAAACCCAAGTCAAATGCGGAACCAGATGGTTACGTGTTTGAATGCGAGTTGTAGCGGACCGAGTCGATCATTGGGGGAAACGACCGCCCAAGGATAGCTACTTCTATTCTGAAAAGGATACGGAGTGAATGTGGTGGTAGATTGAAAAAACACCGGACTTGGTGTTGAGATCGTAACATGATCACACACGGAAGGCACTGGGGAGCCACGAAGTGGTGATCGAGAGTGCCATACGCAAAATAAGAATGACGATCACGAAAATCGTTTACGCGAGTCGCCGAATATCAGCACGTATTATACTCCATTTGTTTATAATTTATATGTATGTAAAGCCACAGAATAAGCTTTAACTGTTAAATGTTCTTGACATAAACCAGTTTTGAAACTAATAACTAATAAATTGAATTCAAACTTCAATTCACTTCTTTCGAAGTTCTCTATATTACAAAGTAACATTTGTAATTTTCTTTGGCATTTATGTCATATATACGTATTTCATTAAGTTTTGTTACATATACTACTATAGTTGCGTGTGCCCATTGGCTTTAGTAGTTGAGGGGGGACCACAATAGTATTTTTTCTACGGTATTAAAGAATATTCATGTCTTATGCGGATATGTTGAATGGTATAGAAGCCTTTACCTAACGTACAATTTTTTACTTTTCTATGTATAGATTTATTAAACTTATATTTCATCATGGTACATATTAAAAATTACCTAAAGAACGTACAATTTTTTACTTTTCTATGTATAGATTTATTAAACTTATATTTCATCATGGTACATATTAAAAATTACCTAAAGAATTATTCTAAGTTATGAATGCAGAATGTAATGGCATATGGTTTATTTTCAATCAAAAAAATGCTAAGAATACAAATTGTGGTTGAATAGATACATCGTCACGTTCTACAGACGAGAATGATGTAACATTTAACGAATTAGAACTGATGATAAATTATAACACCAGAAGCAGAAAGGCTATTTCATAAATTCGTCACATCCAAATAAAAAACAATTGTATTAATACTATTGATATTCGGCTAAATATACCTACTGTTTCTGTGTAAAGCATCCATAACTGAAATCAAATACTTTATTATTCTGCTTCTGGTGTTATAATAAAGAAACAATTACAGAGACTCTCCTATACACACCAAGTAATCAAAATTTCCAGTTATATTTAACAATTTTAATTATTTTGCGTTTGTGGCTTTGACCAGTCTACATTCAGAATAAGATGATCGTAACCATAACCATTGAGCGTAGCAATAGCTTTTGCAGCTTCGTTTCTATATTTAAAGTGCACATATGCAAATCCTTTGCAAAGATTGGTTTGCTTGTCTTTAGGAAGATAAAATTTGAGTACAGATCCAAATGGCTTAACAAGCTCATCCAGATCTGCATCGGTGGTACTCTCTGATAAGTTGGAGATACGAATGGTAGTAATGTCATCTCGTTTTTGCATTTGCATGGGATCCCCTCGTTTGTTGCCTCCATCACGCATGCTAGGTGGAACATATTTGCTACCTTGAGGCTTCAACTCAGCCACTGCACCGGGAGTACCAGCGTTAATTATTGGTTTTTTGTCATCCGGTACTTTTCCTGAAAATTAAGTAGTATAAAATAGAAACCTTTACAAACTCCTTTAGATTAAGTTCACAGCAATGAAACATACCTCCAGCAAGGACAGTGTCTTTGTAAGGACATTTTGAGGTCCAGTGATCTCCATTACAATTACGGCATTTTACTACACCTTTATCACCCATATTTTTAAGCTTATCGAGATTATCCTCTTCAACCTTATTTTCTTCTTCCTTGCTGGAAATGAACTGCATAAATACATCTTCACTGCCAACTGTGGTGGCAGGATTGGGTCCAGGTCTATCATCTGAAGAATCTCCAAACTTAGCCCAATTTTTGCGCACAGCAATTGTCTTTGAAACTATGCGCCTTTCTATCTTGTACGTGCGAACCACTTTTACTTTTTTATTATCTTGATTGTATTTGTATTCAGTGAGAATTTTAAACCCATTTTCATAAGTTTCTGAGGGTGGTGGCAACACTCCTCCCTCCTCTTCTACCTCATCAGCCCAACTTGATTTTATATCTGCTACTGGCATCTTTGAAACCTATGGAACTAATACCAAGAAAAATTATTATTCATGTTTTCAGAAATTGTCAGACAATACGTAACCATTACCCAAACAAACGTTTACTTTTACGTGTAATATAAAAATGGAGTAACTATGTCAAATGCGTGATAGACATGTCACAATAATTAATAGGTTAGGTAGAAACATCGATTCTTAAGTACATTTGACACACGATTATTAGCCATATTTGTATTACGTATCGACAAATTACAAGGAAACATTAAGAGCCGTCAAACTTAGGCATAGAAGTCATCAAATGGAACTTAGAACATTAATCTTTATATACAATGAACACACTGCCATCAAACACGTTTACATACACTACGAAAGATAAACGTGATGTCTAAGCAGAGAAATTTATATTGTATTAAAAGTGTATTACTGTAAGTAGTCGCTGTTTGAAACAATCACAGGAAAAATTTAAACTAACACAAACACTGTGAAAAATTCACACTGAAGCAAATCTACTCTTCAACGTGAATTGTGGCGTGAATGAAAATTACTCGAAATGGAGCAATGGAGGAATTTCCGCATGTGATAAATCGGCGTGTTAGCGGCTCTGGCGGCAGTTTTATGAAACGTGAATGCTCTGAAATTAATGGCGACGTCTAGCGTTGTCGTGTTCAGAGTAGTTCAGAGTGAAAAAATAATGTTTCCGGGAGCCAAATTTCGATCGTGTACGGAAAGGTGTTAACGAAGTTAGAAACATACGTAATCAAATACAGCGTAAAAGTGAAAGAGTAATCGCAATAATGGACCAGGCACCTGCAGGTAAGAAACGAATGTTGTGATTTGGTGATTCGGTCAAACGCGGTCTTGCACATTCCTTCTTCGAGCGAGCGTATTAACAATCCACATTCCTTATTAATCGTAATGCCTGTGATCTATCGTTTTAGCATTTTAGTTAGTCAGAATTGAGGATTTATGAGTTTCGACACGACGCAAATAATGAAATACATTCGAAAAACAATAAAAGATTAGATTCTAGATAGTAGGTTATGTAAACCTGTGCAACACAATAGGTTACCATTATAAAACTATTCGATCGACGAATTAATTTATCCAGAGACAGATCTTCATAGACGCATTCATAAAGTGACCATTTTCAAAACAAATTCAATATTTCAGGTTACGATGGGCTGATTTAGGACTACGTACTTTAAAAATAAGAGATCCTATTTCAGTACTGTATTGAAATATTGCCATTTATATTGTAATAATTGTATGAGTAATCGTCACACTAATTCTATTCATTTTGGTATAATACCTAGATACAGAGTTACGGAACATCATAGACAAACTGGCACAGTTCGTGGCTCGCAATGGACCCGAGTTCGAGCAGATGACAAAAAACAAGCAGAAGGACAACCCAAAGTTTGGTTTCCTGTTCGGTGGAGAGCACTTCAACTACTATCAGTACAAAGTGACTACAGAGCAAGCCAGTAAGTGGGATACAGCCCCTTAACAGCTACAACAATTGAGAAGCATAATGGCCATGCTTTATTCAACGAAACAAGGAATGACTTTGAAAAAGAGATACGGGTGAAAGGGTCTGAATTCATCATAGCGAATATACAAAACTATTATTCATCGAATATGAGCACTTCATTTCAAGATTTTGGAATTGCTATTTATTAAGCAGAATGCTTTAGCTAAAGACGTATTCTATTTCTTGGCAATGATGATTTTAAGAAGATGTAGTTTTAAGATTCTTACTGGAGCTTATCTAATATGGACTACATTGTCAATATATTGCTTCAATCTATATGGGAACTGTAATCCATCTGCAATAACTATATACCCTGTAATACCCTAGTACAATATTAAAAAAAATAATATATGTATATGTACGTGTATATATATATATAAAAAAAAACAGGGAAAGAATATAGTGTTCCCAAAAGACTTACTGAATTTTCAATATACTTCTCTCATAAATGCCAAGAATTTTATTATCCACTGGTAGAAGATAAGACTCAACAGAAATTGGACTATTTGTATACTTTTTCAATATCCATTGAAGGAATCAAACATCTTACAATAATCCACCGTCATTCGTTTACAGTTTTAAAGCAAAAAGGAATAAATCCAATGCAAAATGCAGACCCACGTTTAAACGTTTCGCAGCAGCAGCAAACAGCCGCTACCGTCGCGCAGCCACTGAATAACGTCAATCTTGCAACTGGCCTAAATACTCAAAACAATGGATTAAACCCAGTAGTGGGAATTGGACCAGTGGGAAATCAAGGTGGTCCCGTTATACCTGGAGTACCTGGACAAATTGGAGGACCAGGAAATGCAGGACCACCAATTGGACCAGTCCCTGGTGCTATGGGAGGTGTGAATCCACCAATTGCTGGAGTCACACAACCGGTTAACATTGGAGGACCCCCTGGATGGCTTCAGAATGAATTAGCAAACCTGCAGTCACAGCAAACTACGCTACAGGAACAAGTTAGACAATCAGAACAAAATCTGGCTGCGCAACATGCTGCATTGATGGCACAGCAACAAGGAAGGGTTGAAGATGCTGTTAGACAAGCACAAGAGACAGCTTTGCAAAATAGTGCACAAAGCACAAACACAGATCTCGCTGCATTTGATGCAGTGTTACAGCCTATTATTGATAGTTGCACAAAAGATAGTATAAGTGCAGGAAAAGCCTGGATACTTCAGAATTCGATTACTCCACAAAGTAATCAAGTTGTTGCAGATCATTTGCTGAAAAAGTACGTTTCTCTGAAGTTATATTCGCATAGTGTTGCTTAAACTACTTTTAATAAATTAATATTATTTATTTCAGAGTAATTCAAGCAACAAATTTTAGTCATAAACTTCATATTATCTATTTGGTCAATGATGTCCTACATCATTGGTAAGTATGATGAGACTTATTAACAAATCATTTGTGGATTACGTAGTTTGGAACGTTTATAAAAATTAAATGTCCATACGTTTACACGTGTTCCATATCATCAATGTATCATGTGACACAATGAATATAAATCTCAGAACTTCCAATTCGCTACAATAATACATGTACTTATAAAGCTCGACAACTTTACTTCTTAACTGTAATATATTTGTACGCGGTATTTAATTTTAAACTTCTTTAGTGCAAGAAAAAAGTCTATGGATCTTCGCAAGGCAATGGAAAGTGTTGTTGTTCCTATGTTCTGTAACACTTCACTAGCTGCATCAGAAGAACAACTTAATAAATTAAATAAACTACTAAGTTTGTGGGAGTCAAAAAATAATTACTTTGATGAAGGAATTATAGATAAATTGAAGCAACCAAATACATCTTGGTCTGAATATCAGGCTAATCTAGTTGCACAGCATGCTAGTGCAATTACACCAATTACAACATCAACAAAACAAACCTTTGATAATTATCAAGCACAACATCAAGCGTTTGTTACTCATGCTTTACGACAAATTCAAAATATTGAACAACAGAAGATAGCAATTGATCAACAATTGAAAGCTCCACCACCACCACCTCAATTGGTATGCTCATGACTGCAATTCAGTTTTAGTTTATAAACACTAGAAATATTGACAAAAAGTAATATTTTACAGAATCAGCAGAATATGTCTATACCACCTAGTCATTCTGGTCCTCCAGCTCCAATAGGCAGCGATGTAAATTTCAGTCAACCACCACCTGGGTGGGGTGTACCACCTGGGAACGACCCCCCACCATTTACAAATGTCCCATTACCAGATTTTTCGAAACCTCCGCCTGGATTTGGTCCACCGCCTGTTATACATGAACCCTCTGTTGAAGATTTAATGCCCAGTATGCCTTACTATGAACTTCCCGCTGGTTTGATGGTACCTTTAATTAAATTAGAAGACGCTGAATACAAACCACTGGACCCAGACGCTATTAGACTTCCACCGCCTGCTCCTCCGAGTGACCGACTAGTAGCCGCTGTGGAAGCGTTCTATGCACCACCAAATCACGACTCTCCACGGGACAGGTAAAATTAAAATATATATCACCTTAAATCGAAATAAAGTATACTAAAAACTTTTAAAATATAATGAATATGTATTCCAGCGATGGATGGGAGAAGCTAGGTTTATACGAGTATTATAAAGCAAAGAATGCTGCGCGTAAGCGTAAGGAAGAGGATATTGTGGCTGGTATAAGGCAGAAGTCGAAATCACCGTCGCCAATTTTAAGGCCAAGATCGAAAAGTCCTAGTCCACCAAAAAAACGGTATCGAAGTAAATCGAGAAGTAGATCACGTTCAAGATCGAGGGGTAGAAGTAGATCCAGATCTCCGACAACTAATCACAGACGTAATAGTCGTAATAGTAATCACAATAACAGAAGCAGGAGAAGAAGAAATAGCAACAAGGATCGAAGTCCTGACAGAAGAATGGACAGACAAGATCGGAGTCCAACTCCGCCCAGCTTCCTGTAAGTAGCAATGCAGTAAGCTATGATAACATTACAGTTTCATAAGTACCGTTGCTTATGGAATATTTCATTACAGAGGGTCAACTTACAGTAAGGCTCCTCAAGAAATTGGTATCGATGAGAGTAACAAAGGCCATCAGTTGCTTAAAAAAATGGGTTGGAGTGGTGCAGGACTTGGTGCCAATGAACAGGGTATCGAAGCTCCTATTTCGGGAGGTGAAATTAGAGATAAAAATGATCAGTATAAAGGCGTTGGTATTAATCTAAATGATCCATACGAAAACTTTAGGAAAAGTAAAGGTCAGGCATTTATAACTAGAATGAAAGCGAGAGCGGAAGAACGTGCCGAAGAAAGAGGCGAACGGGACTGAATATAACCAAGTAAAATAATGAAATTGTCTATAATCATTTCGACGACAGATGTAATTACCACGTACAGTGTAAATCCACGCGATCCCGTGATCGACACAAGTTTTAAGTGATTAATCCTGTCACTGTATCGTGTAAACTGTAAACAGTTGAGGATTGATTTCCAGAAACCAGTATACTTTTAACTTTTACGATCAGCGATGAATGAATGTTTACATTTCATTTCTCATCTGATTACAGAAATGTTATATAGTAATTTCTTATCTTTGGATTGCTAAGTTATGCACGTGTATGTTATGTAATTTTATGTTCTTAGTAGGAATAATAATGAATTATTTCATAATACTTGAGCGAAAATGATGTATATGCTGTGTCGATCATCCGCGGAGACAAATCGTTTATCTGTATATTTCCGAGCGTGGAAAATACCATGAGTGAATGATGAAAATAAGGACAATTGTTTATAATGATCATTGCTTGTCAGTTTATAAGCACAACAAAGATCGCCGTAAGTTTGCGATAACGAGAGTGCACCAAAGAGTGGCTGTTATTTACTAAATTGAATTTTTATGGTGCATGGTGCAAAAAGAACAATTTTATACATCTCCTGTACATTATGTACAAAAATCTTTGGCGAGGTTACCGCTAAATAATAATAGATGGTCTATTAATAATTCGAACAACTTGATGAATAATATTAACCTTATACATACCAA